TGTCCACCGAATTCGCATATCTTTTTCCGGCTCGAAATTTCGCGACAAGGAAGTTGGGCTTCCCTAAGGTCGCTTCGAACGCTTCAATTTCTCTTATTCGCAACATGCGGATGTCTGCACCATCTCATCGGTTGTGGTGTTTCCCTCTCCTCTCTCGTTCGTACTCATCCCCTCATTGCCTTACGATTAGTACAAAAATGAGAAAACTGCCACTTTTTGCGTTTCCGACAAGTTCTTACTCATTTTTTTACTGCCCGGCCACTTCGTACCCCTGTTTTCATTTTCATGTGCGAAAACCCACCCAAGTTGATCGTAGGATGTGCCTTTGAAATCGGTTGTACTTTTCGATAGTCTGATCATAAAATAAAACAGCTTATCTTCATAAAAGGAGAAGAACGCTTCACAAAGGGTTGAGGAGTGCGTTGTCCCTTCTCTTTATTGTCACTTAAGCTCACTTTCAGCGCGAACAAGGAAGGGAGAATTTATTGGTCGTTTAGACGCGTCAGAGTCGGAAAAACGAGAACGACTAATGCATGTGTCTCATCCTGTCCTTCGGATTCCGACCAGACAGCTTATACGAAGAGACCTATCGATGCATTACCACTTCCACCTACGTGCATTTTTGCGAAAGCGACCGCAAATTTGCGTAGATTTGTGTGAACTCACGTTGACGCTGTTTTGGCACACCACATGGTCCCATCGTTCGCGAGGTGTCGAGGAAGTCTAGCGCCGGATATCGCGCCTCAGGGAACGTCAGCGCCACATGGGCGTCGCTCACCGCCAGTAACGTCAGTGACAGCAGTGGGACCACGTCCCTCATGGGCGAGTGCTGCAAAGCTTTAATTTTGATCGTTTATGCGTAGTCTGACTTCTACAGAGCGTACAATGGAAAATCGCGAGCGAGCAAGGTCCTTGCTCGATGAATGCCTTGAAATGAGAGAAGAACTAGCAAATTTTCGGCCACGGATTCATAAGCTTTTTTTAAAGCTGCTAACATAGGAGTTATAACAGCAGCATAGCTTTCACTATAAGCAACTCAATAGATTACGGTGTTCTCGGGAGTAAGCAGTCTTCTTAGGCACCCAAAGCTCATTTTCTTACTCAGCCGCCTCTGAACTCGAGATAACTGCTGATCCTACTTTGGTAGTTCCTACCACGAAGAGCTAGGTGCAAGTGATTGACAAGGTCTACAAATCGAGCCTTGAAATTTTGAAGTTAAAGAGTGTTTTGCAAGACAATATGAAGTATTTTCGATTTCACATATTTAGCTTGTAATCAGAGAAGTGGACTTGAGAGAGTGATGGGAAGTGGCACCCCCTCATTACATCTGAGACATTTTGGCAAATACCGGTTCGGGCTCGGCTCATGGCATCTTATGTTCCATCTTTAGAGGATCGGTAGAATTGGGTCAGTATCTCTGGGCAATGAAAGGGAAAATCATCAATCAATTAAAACTGCTTCATCCTGGTCGCAATTCATTTCAAAGATGCTGGCGGGGTTCTGCCAACAGAGAGACTCGTGTCAGAGTCCGCGATCCGTCACGCAATTCGCGCGATTCTCGCAAATTTCAAAAATCACAAGTGTCTATTTGAACATTTGAAACATTAAATGTGGAACAAGTAGAATCATGAACAGAC